AGCGGCGGGGGCGGGCAGTTGTCGGGCAGAGCAGGTCGCCAAGAGTTGTCCTGGAAACACTTCCCCGCGATGTTAGTCTCCGGGTTCAGAAGCGGGGCCCGCTGGTCCTGCTGCGCGTGCGTCGCGGGTCTTGGCTCGCACGGAGGGGTGCCTGTCTCTGCCTGTCCGCTTGCTTCGGCCCGTGGGGAGCACTTCCGGCGAACAGCAGGACGAGTGCCGCCGTCCTTGGGCGCGGAGCCGGGGTGCCACCGCTGGTCGGAACATGTCCTGGCCCTTGCAAGGGAGGCCGCGTCTCTCCAAGGGCTCCTAAGTTTGCGCTTCGCGCTGCGCGAAGCGCGAAGCGCGAATAACTTCGCGCTCTCGCGCCGCCCCCCCAAAGGGAGAATAGGAGGACGAGGAGGAGGGGGAGAAGGAACGAGGACCGCGAAGCGCGAAGCGCGAATAACTTCGCGCCCTCGAGGGAGCCCTTGTGCAAGGGAGGCCGCGTCTCTCCGTCCCCCCCTCCCCCCTGGGTTCTCCAGACCTTCCCTCGGTGCGGGGGGGCTTGGCGACAAGGGGGCGGCCGCCCGTCTGCGTCGGTGCCGCGACGAGCGTCGCGCGTCATGTCGCCCCGTGGGGGTTGTTACCCGGGCGGACTGGTGGCGATCTTGCCACGCGACGTCTAGCGCCATCCTTGCCCTTACCCCGCGACTTCCTTACCCCGCGACTTCCTTGCCCTTACCCCGCGATCTTGCCACGCGACTTCCTTGCCACGCGACTTCCTTGCTGGGGGATGTTACCCGCGCCATCCTTGCCCTTACCCCCCTGTCAGTTAGGGTTGTTGTCCTCTCCTCGCTGGTGGCCGTGTTCAGGAGATTGGCTGTCCAGGTGGTCGGCCGTGAGCGGGTCCAGTTTGGCGGTTATCGCGAGGGCGACGGCCTGTTGCGCGCCCAACATGAACAGGCAGTGCGGTCGGTTGTTGTGCTCACTATTTCCGTACCCGTTACGATCGTCCCGATCTGTACTGCACTGTACCCTTCCTCGGCGGCGCGCCCAGGGGGGAAGTGAGCGGGCGCGGGCCTTCTCAGAATGCTCAGAGGTCCCCAGCCTTGTGATAAGCGTTCTAAGACTTTCCCGGAAACGCAGAACACCTTTCAGAAGGCCCGAGGGTTTCGGAGAAGCCCCGCCGCCTACTGAGAGGGCCGTCTAACAGGGGACATGTTGACCCATATCCGAAGTTTCGTGGTGTTATCGAATGGGCGAGAATTTTTGGGCCCAACCCTGGGATATACGATGAGGGGGCGTCCATCCTCTATTGGGGTGCCCCTTGGGGTGTACCTCAAAACTTCTCCCATTCTTCTAACCGGCGAAACCTTTCGGGCGGAACTCGGGGATAGGGGGAGAAAAATCGCTGCGATCTTCTCCTTCTCACTTCCCCCATTCGCTTGCAGCCGACCTACGCAACGCCCGACCACCTCCATCTGCGCCATGAGACAAACGACAAACGGGTCCTGAGGGCAACGGGTCCTAGACCCAAGGGCCTTCCTCCAGGACGAGCACTTTATCCTGCGTCGTTCTCTGACAATCCCGGGGCCCGTAGAGGGCCCCGACAGCCCGAAAACGGTGACAAGCCTCAGGACCCGTTTCCCTCAGGCCCCGTTTCCCCCATGGCGAGTGGCGGGAGCTCCGCACGGATTTCGGGTCATAACCTCGGGTCTCCGGCGGCCGTTCGGGACGATTCGGGCACCCCCAGAACGCTCTCGGCGAGGCGCAGCCGCTGGAAGGCATCCCGAGGCTAGAAAGCCGCCGAGGACCGACGAAACCACCCGCGAACCTCGAACCAAACCTCGAGCCGTCCCGAGTCGGGGTGGGAGCTCCGCACGGATCCCGCCGCTCCCATGGCGCGCATCTGCACCTCACGCAGCGCCCGGCCGGCTCCCTCCGCGGCAGGCCCACGGGGCCTCGAGCGACGTGCGCGACTCGAGGGACGGCGGGCGGCAGCCCCCCTCCGGCGAGGCCGCCCGCGGCGAGGCGGGCGCCTCCGGGGCCTCCTGGAGAGGGGGGGGGGGGGGGCACGGCAGGACAAACAGTAAGCGGCGAGGATCGGGGAGGGAGATCGGTCCTCGACGAGGGGCATCGGGCTGGAAGGATCGAGGAGGAGGATCGAGGGAAGATCGAGGGTCCTCCTCCTCGATCCTCTCCTCCTCCTCCTCCTCCTCCTCCTCCTCCTCCTCGCACGAACCACTCCTCCTCCTCTCCTCCCTCCCTCCTCCTCCTCCTCTCCTCCTCCTCCTCCTCCTCGCACACTCCTCCTCCTCCTCTCCTCCTCCTCCTCCACCTCCTCCTCCTCCTTCTCCTCCTCCTCCTCCTCCTCCTCCTCCTCTTCCTCCTCCTCCTCCTCCTCCTCCTCCTCCTCCTCCTCCTCCTCCTCCTCCTCCATTCCTATGTTATAGCTATGTCCTCCTTGTGTCGCACCCCCCGACGTGTCGGTAGGGGGGGCCAGGCGTCTCGCCTGAGGTAGCCTCACCACTTATGATCCTGAGCTTTGACATGTGCAGCAGCTTCACGGATGGAGGGCATGACGTTTTCAAAATGTGGCTCTCGCCCCAGCGCCGTACACATTCGTTTCAAAAGCGTGCAGCAGCCTCAAGGATTGAGGGCGGCCTCCTTTTCAAAATGTGGTTATTGCCGTAGCGCCGCGCACATTCGTTTAAAACATTTCAGCAGTTTTGCAGACGAAGGGCAGCGTCTACCTAGCAGCGAAGACTGATAGGTTTCTGGTGGGCCCAAAAGAGAGCATCTTGACTCCCCAGAGGGGGTCTGGGCGGGTGCCTGGAGAAGCCGGGGAGCCCGGGGACTCCCCAGGACTCCTATAGATTCCTATAGTTTCCAATGGATTCCTACTCTTCGTGTTCCCAGAACACCGCTCCCAGGCCACATTTTGAATGCCCGGAACCAACTGTAGGCCACTTCGTGTTCTTCGACTTCCCAGAACACCATTCCCAGGCCACATGTTGAATGCCCGGACCCAACTGTAGGCCACTTCGTGTTCTTCGTGGTCCCAAAACACAACTCCCAGGCCACATTTTGAATGCCCGGAGCCAACTGTAGGCCACTTCGTTTTCTTCGTGTTCCCAAAACACCATTCCCAGGCCAGAGCCTCCGAGACTTGGGCCTGGCAACCCCGCCCTCCCCCGAAAAGACCGTTCCGAAGCTCTCAGGAGACGAGGGGGCCTCGTCGGGCACGTGGACGGGGGGGCCAGCCTGCGAAAGCGACTCCGTCACCAGGGGGGGGAGCTCGTTGACCCGCTCGGCGGAGGTGGGCGAGCCTACAACATTGCCCGCGCACTCAATATGCACTCCCGAGGCCAGCGGGGGGGGGGGGGAACGCGGCCGTCGACCAGGCGATCCCCATCGCCTGGTCCCGCGCGCCTTCTCAAAATATGTTCGCGCACGCTCCGGCAGAAAGCTGGGGCGTGAGGCCATCCCGTCAGCGGCGCGGCAAAACGCGGCCCCACCCACTCACGCGGCCCGATCAACCGCCCATGGGCCTCAGAGATCCCGAGGTACCCGGCCCTGAAACGCGCGGGCGAGAAAAAGGAGCGGAGGCGCAGGGTGGGGCCCATGTTAAAATGCATTGAAGATACCCGCGCATTGGACCCAGAGGTCCTCGCCCTCTGGTAGCTCCAAGCAGGCGAGACAGGCTACCGACGCGAATTCCACATGTTCAGGGCTCTCAGAAAGAAAGTTACTAGACCTGCTGTCGACGGCGATTCTCTGTCTGCGATTCTGTATCCACGCCGTGAAGACACGTGCTCATTCTCGCGCCTCGACCGAGTCTGGCGCCAGATCGAGCATCCCAGCTTCCAACGCCCGACGAACAAACTGAACCCGACGCGATGGCTGCCGAGGGGCGGGGCCGAGATGGGGCTCGGAAAAGCTCGCGCTAGCCTTCCGCTCCGCAGGGGGGCAGCGCCAGCTCGCGCGCGCGGCATGGGGCATCCAAGGGCTGGCGGCTCAAGTCATCCTCGCCCGCGCCCATCTGATTCAGGGTCCCAATGACCTCGCGAAGCAAAACCGCCCGGCGACCCCGCCCCGCTGCCCGACTGCGCCCTCGGCGGCCCGACGGGCGACGACTGGCGTCCCGGCGCCGGGCCGGCAGCGGCAGCGGCAGCAACGACCTGTCGCGATCCGTCTCGCCCGCCGTCTCCCCCTGAGGCGCCGCGCCGCCTGGGCGGGGGGGCCCGGGCGGCTCGTGCGGCGTCGAATCTGGCCGGGGCTTTCTGCTCCTCCCGCAGCTTCCTCGCGATTTTCCTGGCGCAGGCAATCGGCTCCAAGCCCTTCGAGCCCTCGTCGAGCAGCTCTGGGCGCAATCTGCTCGGGGATCGACCCCCTGCCCAGGGGGCCTGCGCCTCATCCAGGGGCAGTGGGGCAATCTGGCGTAGGTATGCTGCTGCTCCTGTCGGGGATCGCCCCAGTAGTACTCGATGGGCAGGAGCCTCCGATAAACGATCTCATCGCCCACGAGGGTGCGCGCGTCCATCCGGCCCGCCGAGCCCCGACCCTGTGGTCCACACGTACAAAAAATGTACGTGAACGTGTTGCGTACAAAAAGTGTGTGTTGCGTGAATGTAAGCGTGCGTGATCAATACTTGGAGTCTGCCACCCCCTTGTGTCAAAAACAATCATACATTCTTATCATACAAATCGAAACGTTGTAATCCGAGTATAGAAAAGAAGTGACGTAGAGAAAAAACATAGTTTTAACAGGGCCTCGAGAGGACATGGAACGCTTGGGATGGGGGGCAAAGCGTTGGAACGTTTGGATTCTCACTCAGGTCGGGGGCCTCTTGGACACGCGTTGCCTACTCTCGATGTCATGGACATGCGGGGCTGTCTGCGATACATAGCGCCACCGCCCCCCTGCAGTCACCCATCCATCCACAATACTTTCAGTAGCCAGTTTGGGCTCAAGCCAGATGTTTTGGCGATTCGGTTCACGTTTGATTCTTCTCGCGCTAATGGTGCAGCGCTCTGCTTCAAAGTTGGATTCAGATGGTTTGAAACAGTTCGAAACGGTCATCGAGCAACGGGCTGCGCAGAGTGGCAAATCGCTGATCAAGTACTCGGAGGAGAAGAACACGCAGAAGGCGACGCTGGACAAGAAGAGGGTCACAGAGTACGTTGACTTCATCAAGGCTATTCAGGACGCCGTCCCGAATATGAGCATCACTAGCGGCGACGCGAAGAAGTGCCTAGGGAGCGTCTTCGACAACCACAAAGCAGATTGGAACGTGAAGGATGCGCACCGAGAGGATTGGATCAACACAATGGAGCTCCGCATTCGAAATCTCTGCGCTAGTGTCAAAAAAGCAACATCTGTCAAAAAACCTGCGAAGTGGCTGGTCGACTTGGGACTCGCGACCTCACCTTGCCCCACCGCCGACGACGAGGACGATGATGAGAGCGGCACGGGCAAGGATGACTACACTGTCGGATGAAACTTGGAGCTGGGTTTGGCATTCAGGCGCAAGGTCGTTAAGGGCAAGGCAAAAGAAGAGTTGTCTCTACCGATCAATACTTCTAACGTTGCGAAGCTCAGCTCGGACGACCCGATTGTTGCAGAATGGCACGACGGCTATACCAAGGAGATCAACGACATGACCAAGGAGCGCTGGGAGAACCTGACAAAGGCAAGCCACGCGAAGTCTGGCGAAGGCCCCCTCTGGGAAGAAGAGTCCAGCATAACCCGCAACAAACTGTACATCGACCAGAGGGTCGACAGGCACTTATTAATGTCATTATACGAGCAAGGTTCACAGATTCTCATGATGCGCCTGGACACGTTTGCGGACTTGAAGGGCCGCAACCAGAGGCTTCCGAACAACCACGAGGCCGTGTTGACAGGCCTCTCCATCATGAAGCCGATCGCTGAGCAGTACCGCACGGGCAACATCAAGCAGGGTGACAGGACGGCGCTCAGGGAGGCGAGAAATAAAGCCATCACCGAGTGGAAGAGCAAGGGCGAGCTCAAGAAGGTGCACGGCAAGGACAGCTCCACGGTGACCAGCCCCACGAAGACGGAGGGGCGCGACAGCCACGTCGCCCTGAAGAGGCCTGCTGCCAGTGAGGACGCAGCCACTCCTCCATCAAAGCGGAGGCCTGCTGCGTCAACGCCGAAGTGCGGTGACGCCGCCATTCCCCAGAAGCCAATTGCGCCATCCGCATCTGCTTCCTCTGAGGCGCACCTTGCGGCAATGACCGCGTGGCTGGGGTCAGCAGCTGACTGCGGCCCCCCGAGGCGCTCGTGTGCCCAGATCTTCCAAGATGCGGAGCACTCCGCTTCCGATTAGATCAGTGGCTGATCGGAGGCAGCGTCGCGAGACGCAGCAATCCATATCGGTAGGAGTCGGCACCCTGCCGATCGAGCCAGCGAAGCAACTCATGTACAACGCATGCATCAACATGCGCGTGAAAAGCAATCCCCCTTGGTCTTGGGGCTATCTTGCGGCGTCTTAAGGTCATATTGGGCCATATTGGGGCGTCTTGGGGCCATCTTGAGTGGAACGGAAACGCCTTTCCATTGGGGGGCAGGATGGGGGAGGGCGAGGCGGGGCGAGGGAGCCGAACCCTTGAGGGGAGAGAAGGGGACCGACCGACTCAGGCTGGATGCAGCTCGAACTTCTAACAAGATGGGCGATGCACGTGGCCACGTTCCTTCGCTGCTACTACCTTCAGCGCCTCCACCCAACCCCCTCCGTAGCTATTTTGGTTCGAGAGTCGCTTCGGATTTGCTTCAGACCGTCAGCCACGGGTCTGGTCCAGAAGGATACATTCATGGCACCGTTGTGCCCGATGAAGGTCGCGGCCCCTCGGAGAGCAGCAGGTGCCGCGAAGAAACAGAAACAAGCCACGCCGAAGCAGCCACCCACGGACGAGCACGAGTCCGACGCCAGCACAGCGGTGACGTCAGTCCCACAGGCTGATGCGCCCCAGACAAAGTACAGAAGGATTGACGAGTTCATGACTCCCGTAAGGCGCATCGGCGGCATCGGCGGGAGCACAGTGGACGTCAGTTCAGCGGCCAGCGAAGCGGCGCCATCGATTGCCGCTGACGTACACACTGTACTCTCGGAGGCCTTAGCAGACGTGCCGATGCAGCCTGCGCCAGCCCTCAGCACGACCAATGGTCAGAGCAATATCCTCGAGGCCAGAGACGATCAGGCCCCTGCCGCTTCGATGAAGGATGTGATCGTCCAAGGCGTCGAGGCGGGCCGTGCCGATGAGTTCCTGGAGAGCGAGGTGGGGGCGCAGCTGACGGAGGAGAACATGGCGAAGTTCGACAGGGTGATGGGCCACATGCTCAATCATGAAGCTCGCGCCGAGTGCTTGATTGAGTCGGCGAAGCGAGCCCGCGCCGAATCCAAGCTGGCCTCGAAGGACGAGAAGCTGCTCACGTCGTTGCAAGAAGTCATCCAGACGGGCGCCTTCAACACCCGCAGCAGTTATGGCAATCGGTTCCGCGACGAGCTTGCGCAAGACAAGAAGGAGAAGGAGCTCTACGACAAGAAAGACAGGAACGGGCAGCAAGAGTACAGGATGAAATGGGCCCTCGACACCGTAGGGGCGCTCGTGAAGAAGAAGACCCACACGACTACGCTGAAGGAGTCCACAAAGGCAGAGTACAAGTACATGACGTTCGGCAAGATGGTAGAGGAGTTCGGCGGTTGGAAATGCCAGGCTGCCCGCAAAGGAGCTTCTACCGCGGCCCTCAAGTGCTTGGCCATGGGCCACCCGTTCGTGAAGAAGCACAGCCAGTCGGACATGACTATCTTCGCGATCGTCGAGGAGAGCTGGAAGGAGACGTTCGAGCAGAGCTGGTCGGAGCTGGTGCAGAGCGTGTCTTCCCACGCAGCCGTCGGTGACCTTCCAACTGGCACTCCCGAGGAGCCGAAGGGCCCGCAGACGGACCAGAAGCACCCGAGGCTCCCGAAGGACCCGAAGGGCCCGAAGGATGCGATCAAGAACCCGCCGAAGGAGCCGCCCATCGACGATGCCGATACGAAACAGAAGAAGAAGGAGATCGAGAAGCTCTTCAAGGAGGCTGGCAAGGTGAAGCACGACTTCGTTTCCGTCACGCACACTGCGATCGACATCCTCTCGCAGATCAACGACGAGACTGCTGACTGGAAGTTCGCGCGCGGCGACAAGCAGGACATGCTGAAGGAGAAGATCGACGACCTGAAGGCATCCCTGAGCCCCGTCGGGAGAGAGTTCGTCCTGGAGAAAGACCAGAAGAAGTTCAAGGCGAACCACACGACTGCGAGGCTCGTCGTCGAGATGCAGTCCTTCAAGGACTTGCAGAGCAAAGTTGCCGAGTTGCAGAGCATCGTGGAGAGGCTCGGCGAGGCAAAGAAAGCGCTGAAATTCTGACTGCCTCGCTTCAGCAACGGTTGCGGTGCTCCCTGGAGTGTGAAACATGCTTCGGGTCGACGCACGCTTGGGTGAAATCCGACCAGCCCATCAGGAAAACCGCAAGCTCTGAGTCGATTTTCGCGCCCGCGAGGTGCGAATTTGGTTCCCGAGCCCGAAATTTGGAGTTCCCGAACTATTGAAACAACTATTGAAACAACTATTGAATCAACTATTGAATTAACTATTGAATCAACGGTTTCGCTTGAGACATCCTCAAAAAAACAATTGAATCGCCACCCAATTCAACTATTGAAAAACTATTGAAAAACTATTGAAAAACTGTTGAATCGTCGCGGGCCCTCGAATTGAGTGGCGGTTTCTGGGATTCTGTGATTTTCTGCAGAGCGTTAGCTAGGGGGAGCTGCAGATGGCAATGGCCGCGGTTGATTGCCGAGCGCTTGGAGTCGCATGCTAGATGCCATGTGAGCCTTCAAAAGAAGAACCCTTGTTACCGAGGGGAATGGGGGAGGAGGAGGAGGGGGAGGGAGGAGGAGAAGGAGGAGGAGGCGGAGGAGGAGGAGGAGGAGGAGAAGGGGGAGGAGGAGGGGGAGGAGGATGGGGGAGGAGAAGGCGGAGGAGGAGGAGGAGGAGGAGGAGGAAGCGGAGGAGGAGGAGGGGGAGAGACGCGACCTAGTGTCGACATGAATCTACAGGGGCACGCGCTAGGGGGTGAGGATTAAAGGTCCCCCTACTCCGGAGAAAAAACATTCCCGACATACCCAGATTTTGCCCCGGCCCCGACGGCTCCCTGGAATGCCCAGTCGCCCTCCGACCCCCTGGAATGCCCGTGCTCGGTTGTGCTATCCTACCCCCCTCTTTCCTCTTCCTCTTCCTGGCTCTAAGGACCCTTACGGCCACGGGAAATCTCTCCCCCGTCCTCGTCGCTTTCGACGTGCGCAAAATTCGTGGCTGCTCGTCGCTCTGCCTACCGCAGTCCATATAGAAGAGCCTCGGGCCCCCCTGCTGATGCTGCTGCTGTGCTGCTCGCGCCTCCCTCCTCCCCATCTGCCCCCTCCTCCTCCTCCCTCCCCGCTCCTTTTCCGCAGCCGTTTTGGCTTAATAGATCTCTGCAGGGCGCGTTGCTTCAGACCCCTGGCCCGACCATCGCTAGTTCATGCCGCGAAGCTGGGCCGCGCCGACAGTTGCTCCAGAACCCGCGGCCCATGCGTGGGAAGATGCATCGGTTGATTCGGATTCGCCGTGGGAAGAAGCATCGGTTGATTCTGAATTGTTGGCTCACGGTGACATCGATGGCGCGTCAGACGGCGAGTTTTCGCAGTCGGACGCCGAGGGTGCTCGCGCGACACCAGGCCAAGAGTTCATTGATTATATGATTTGTCTGCTCCTCAGTCGGTCTATCAATGCAAAGAAATTCTGCACGGTCATGTACTACGCATCGCGCGCTGGCATTGCGGATGCCGACGCATACAGCGTGGACCCACACGCCCCGTCTGGGCATTTTTCCAGGCTTGTCAAACGAAAGCTGCCAGCATATGCTCCAGACAGAACAAAAAAGCTTTACAGATTCACCGCCCCGTCTTACTCCAAGGCCAGGCTGGGGCGCGATGAACACACATTCACTTGCATGGTGCCACACGAGCTGGTTGCAGAGAGTTTGGAAGATGACCCAAGTATCATTGCTGACGTTCAAGATGCGATCGACTCGATGGAAATGCCACCGTGTTTCTTCGAGAACCCAGTTGTCCAAGAACATCTGGGGCCAGACTCGCCAATCATACCGCTGGGGTTGTTCACTGATGGTGTCCCGTACAGCCAAACCGACACAGCAGTCGGTTTTTGGTTAGTGAACATGGTCACGCAATCTCGAGTGTTATTCGCGTTAGTACGCAAGAAGCTTGCGTGTCATTGCGGCTGCAGGGGCTGGTGCACATATTTCAATATTTTTTCTTTCATAGCATGGAGCCTACGCAGCTTGTGTAAAGGGTCCTTCCCACTTGAGCGCCACGACGGATCGGAATTTCAAGATGACGATTCATACAGGAAGATGTTGGCTGGCAAATTGATGCGCGCAAGAGGTGTGCTCATCTATAACAAGGCCGACTGGGCTGAATTATCAACGACGTTTGGGTGGCCCTCATGGGGCGACAGTTTGAGGCCGTGCTTCCAATGCAATGGGTTTGGCGACAACTTGTATCTCGATGTTGGCTGGAGTTTAACTGGGTCTCCTTTCAGAGAGAACGTTGTCGGTGATTACGATTGGGCCTGTCAGATGTGCGAGCATGTTGTTGTTCTGTCGCATGACACACACAAGGCCCTGTGCGACGTGTTGTTCTACGACAAAAGATCTGGAAGCAGTTCGTCAAAGGGTCTAGCCCTTAAGGTTGCTTTGCCCGCCCTCGGTCTCCAGCAGGGGGACAGGGTGGAGCCAACAAAGTGGATGCCAGATGTGTCAGCAATATTCAGAATCACGCAGTTTCCATGCCCAATTCTTATTTGGAGACCGTCTGCTGAAACAATTGCTCGGCATAGAAACCCAATATATGATATCGAATTTGGCGTCGACCCGTGCACGCATACTTGCATCGATTCGCTTCACGCGCTATACCTCGGCTGCATGAAGGATCTGTGTAGGGAGCTCGCGTGGGCAACGATTGACGCTGGCCTGTGGGGCACGGCAGGGACAGTGGAGCACAATCTCGAGGTCGCTGCCATTGCTATGAAGCACGAACTTCATGGGTTCTACACCGAATGGAAAGAAACAGGTTTGAATTCGACTCTGACGGAAATCCACGCCATGAGTGCCAAGTTGTTTGGCACAAATTCAGACAGGAAGTTGAGGACGAAAGGCGCTGAAACATGGGGCTTCCTGTTATTTCTAGTCCACATGTTCAACCGTCGTTGGAAGATTCAAGGCCGC